CGCAAAAAGTTTTCATCTCTCCCTCATTTCTTTTCCCTTTTCCCCACTCTTTTCAATTTTGTAAGTTGTGAAGTTCCCTGGGGCTCTGTTTCAGCATCAGCTGGAAATGCCAGGGCCCAGCTGTTGCCCCAGGAAAGTGGGGTGGGGGCAGGTGAGAAAAGGGCAGGAGGAGGAGAGCCCCTTTAGGCTCAGGAAACGCAGCGTGGTACAGTGAGGGACACACAGCTGCACCCAAGGAGAGCGGGGCTCCTGCTCAGCTGCTCTAATGTGCTGAGTGCCCTGGGACACGTCACTTCTCCTCTCTGGGACTCCCTTTATTCATCTGTATATAGACAGGGTGGCCACAGCAGCGGGTGTTTCCAAGGGAGGCCTGTATCTGGGGGTGGGCCCAGATATCTGCATTTTTATCAAGCTCCTCCATGATCCTTTAGAATTTAGATAGAGGTGGTCCCGTTATGGTTTAAATTCCAGCAAGGCTTTCCCTTTAAAAAGCAGCACAACCGTTCAACTTTATCCTGAGTTGGGAGGTCCCGGGATCTGACCAGTGTCAGACTTGGCAGCAGGGAACTCATGGCAGGACCAGGCTGGGCAAAGGCTCAAGTGCAGGGGGTGCTGGGGAAGGGAAAGGGCTGCTTAGGAGAGGGGAGCTCATGGGTGGTGTGTGGGGGGGAGGCTTCTTAGCTGCTACTCAAGGGCAGCCTCGGCACCACCTAAAAGCTTATTAGAAATGCAAATGTTGGGTCCCCAACCCCAGACCTACTGAGGAGGGATCTCCAGGGTGAGGCCCAGGAATCTGCATTTAACACACTGTCCAGGTAATTCTGATGCACGTTAATGTTTGAGAAGCACTGGCTTACGTCCTTACTGGCAGGGCTGGGGGTACGGAGTCAAGAAGCTTGTTCAGATCTTTCTGGGCAGGTGGAGCTGGGCTGCTGAAGGTGCTTTGTGTGGGGAAATTTCATCAGAGGTGTGATTAGAGGTAGAAAAATCTATATACAGAGCAGGGTGGTGGTGGTGGGAACTAAAGGTGGAAAAACCAGCTGGGCAGGGACCTGGAGCCCCACCAGGGAGTCAGATCTGGGACCTGTTCCCAGACTCCCAACCCCAACCTTGTGGCCTGAGGCAAATGCACCACCTTGCTCCTTCCCATCCCAGCCTCAGTGCCTGTCTGCGAATCAAAACAGGAGGACGTGTTAGTTTATGGGACTCTTATAGGCTGGGTGGCTTAAACAAGAGAAATTTCTCACAGTTCTGGAGGCTGAAAGCCCCAAATCAAGGTGTCAGCAGGATATTTTTTTGCTGAGGCCTCTCTCCTTGGATTGTAGATGGCTGCCCCTTGGTCTGTGTGTTCATGTCCTAACCTCTTCTTATAAGGAGACCAGTCACATTGGACTAGGGCCCACCCATAGGACCTCATCTCCCATTCAAAGTCCTTATCTCCAAATACAGTCACATTCTAGGTCCTGGGGATTAGGACTTCAAGCTGGGGTTCTGAAGGGGATACAATCAGGCTCGTCCCAGAGGAGTAGCTATAACTGTCCTCCTTCTGAAACCCAAGGCTAGTGCCACTGTCAGGCGTGGGGCTGGTGACAGCCTGCAGGGGGG